GTAAGTACTCTCACACTTATTATCAAACTGTCTGTACTGGGCTAGCTTGATTATCACTTCAAAAGTGTTTTTTTTTTCTCTCTTAAGACAACTCCCACCTGTTTATGCTCTCTGTATGTGTGTATATATATCTCCTCAATATATGTTCCATTCTATATGCATCTGAAGAAGTGGGCTGTAGTCCACGAAAGCTTATGCTCTAATAAATTTGTTAGTCTCTAAGGTGCCACAAGTACTCCTGTTCTTCTTTCTGTGGCTGAGCGAGACAAGCTTTCAAGGCACACAGAGCTCTTCTTCAGGTCAGGGAAAGGTACACCCAACATCACAGCAAAATACAAGATGGAACAGACTGTTTAGCATAAGTAATTAGCACATATTGTAAGGGACCATCCAAGGTAAAGTGGCCCATTAACACCTCTGCAGTCATAGGACAAAAAGAGGGGGTTAGTGGGTTACAGATTGCTGTAATATGCCATAAAGCCTACGTCTCTGTTCAGTCCATGATTTTTAGTGTCTAGCAGAGCAATGAATTTAAGCTCCCACATTTGTATTTTGAAAGTGTTGCACAGGTTTCCTTTGACGATGAGGACTGATAGGTCAGATATAGAGTGATTGCTTTGGGAAAAGTGTTCACCCATAGGTGATAGGGTGTTTCTGTCTTATATCATTTTCCTGTGTGGCAGGGTCTGGTACCACTTTAAATTGGTGTGGCCTGGTCTGTGGGAAGCTTGCTTCTGATAAGTTTCAAGAGGTTGGGGGGGGTTGCTCGGATAGGGCTTGGGAAGCCACCTCTCTCCCCTCCTCCCAGTAGCAGAGCTCGGGCAGTTAGCCCCTGCCCCTCCTTCAGCAGAGCTTGGGCAGTCTCCCTCCCCCCCGCCCCCCGCCCCATGGACAGGTTGTGGGCTTCCATGAATTTCTGTTTATTTCTTGCCACCTGCCTGTGACTTTTACTAAAACTACCTGTGACAAAATCTTAGCCTTACTGATAAGCTGTATGCCATTGCTGATATCCAAATTCCATTAACATTAATGTTAATAGCACAAGATTGGTTCCCCACAATATGTTGCGATTAACTGGAAGCTGCTAATATCAGGATTCCTATTAAGCAGAACCTACTGTACATTTTTGCAGATGAAATTTGATTGTTATTTCTGTCCTCCTGAATGTGATCATGAAATACTGTTATAAAGACAGAAGAAGTGGGCTGTAGTCCACGAAAGCTTATGCTCTAATAAATTTGTTAGTCTCTAAGGTGCCACAAGTACTCCTGTTCTTTTTGCGGATACAGACTAACACGGCTGCTACTCTGAAACCTGTTATAAAGACAGAGTTTGAGGAAACAGGCCCTGTCCACTAGCCCATCTGGAAAGCCGCCTGCAGAGCCAGACAGACAGTTGCCCTTCTTAAGTAACTGGGGAATAATAAAGCCTGGAGAACAAGGATACTTTTTTAAAGCCTTTCTAAAGAGGTTGCAGAGATGCAAGGTTAGAGACTATGTAAATAAGTTCCCCACCTCACTTAAACTTCTACTAGCCTCATCCCTCAGAATGGTTAACCCTTCTAACTCCACTGCAGTGGGTGGGAATATGGGAGAGGTATGCCGAGGAGTCAGAGTCATATATGTGATCATGGCAGGATTGAAGTATTTTCCATATCAAATGAGTAGAATGAGTGGCAATGGGAGAAGTGGAGGGGTTTTCTACTCTGGCTAGATGTCAGGCAAAATAAACAGTATCTCAACAAAAAATACTGCTTAAGATCAGCTCTCCGCCAGCCCTTCTGTGGTATTTTATCAAATTAAACAATTACTCTGGTAATTGTTAAAGACATCTCTAATATGACAGTATTTTGAGTAGTTTTTGGAGAAAAAAGGCTGGTGTCACATTGGCAACACAGTAACACTAGGTGGGAACTGCAGATTCAGAACCATCTCAGAACTCTCATGCCCAGTGATAGCCAGCAGGTCAAAAGAGAAGTACTGTGTGTTCATCAGAGCAAAGGCTTTGCCTCACAGGAAACGTCTCAGAGAGCAAAAGAAAGCGAGTGCGCAAACTATCTGTAGAGCTTGAAAAGCTAATTCTGAAAAGCACATACTGTCAATCTAAATGGTTCAAGCAAGTACTTACTAATTGTCATTGATTCTGGCACAGTGGCTGAAGGCAACATATTGCTTAAAGCATTCACTTGAACAGGAGGACTGACATCCACTCTAGTTAAAAAGACAGAAGATCATTAATATTAACCAGAGGAACACAAAATGCTCAATTCAAAGACTAATAAGCCAGATTTGTAGAAGTAGAAACGATCAAATGACCACATTCTATTCACCATGTATACATATAACAAACTAACATGCTGAAGCCATAAAGAGCAAAATACTTTTATTTTAATCCAAACTTATTTGAAATTAAAAAAAAATCTAAAAAAACTTCTGCATTAATCTTAATTTATAAATATTGAAAATATTAATATTCAAATAGACAAACTATATGACTAGTATATGGTGCAAAAATGACTTCCAGATGAAGTCCAGATACCATTTGACATGGCTCCTTTAGCATCATTAGAGATCATATAAAATATTAAGAAGATTATGAAAATATGGAAGTATGGACTTAGGCATTTGTCTTTCCAAATGTTTATAGCATTAATCTGATTAGTGGTGTGTTTTGAGTACTGAGTAATTACGGCTTGGGGGTCAACATTACTTTGCATGTGCCTGTTTACCATTAAGTACTTCTGTTTTATAATTAGAAAATATAACTTGATTTACCTATTAGGAAGTTCAGATCCTCTCTGAGCCAGTTCTACTGCAAGAACAGCACTTTCATGCCCATCTCCATTCTCCAGGTTACCTAAAGTAGCATGCACAGGACATAAATTAGTTAATGAAAAAAAATCCAACATACAAAATGAGCAAAATGTAATAGTTGTCTGTTACACTTGCAACTAATAAAGGTAGTAAGGGTAAAATTTTCAAAAGCATCTAAATCAAAATTTCACTACGGAAATAGGCTTGTAAGTGTATAAGCCCCATTGACTGTCAATGGACTTAGGTGCTTCTGAGAATTTTAGATTTAGTCATATTACATTTAGTGTGCTGACATTTTAGTGTCACAATTTCATGTTTCAAAGTTCTGAGGAAATGCCTTCCCTGAAATATTACAAATCCTGATGCTTAATTTAATTAAATATGAAATTTGATACTCATCACAAACTGAGAGCTGTGGGAAGTGAACTGGTGGTTTAAATCCAGGCATAAATTGACATTTTGTAAATTTAAAAACCCACTATTACAACCGACATCTTTGTTGGCAGTCTTCATACAGAACATGAGGATTAAATAAGCATAGAAGACCATTCATTTCCAGAGGTCATTCCGCCATGTCAGGGTTTAGACATTAATGGGTCAGTGTAGAAAAGTTTATACCTTATACTGTATCTGTTCTGTATATTAAGAAGTTAATTTTTCTAAGCCATCTAACACTGACTATTTTATGTCCCTAATAAAAATTAATCCATATTCATACCATCATCCTACATACAGATGCTGTCTCTATTTAATAGCCCCATGGGCCCATTCAGTCCCTTATAAAACGTTCAAGTGAAACAAAAATTCAGTCATATTTCACTGACATTTTCTGCATATATCCTAAATATATTTTATCATAATGAGGTTACCATAAAATAAACCTAGAGGCATATGTTAAAACAGTACTGGATTTAAAAAAAAAATGGAGAGAGAAGGTTGACAATGTTTTGACAGTGATGTTGGGTTGAATAAGGAGGGGCATGTCTGTGTTTGTTTTTTAAAATGGTAGAGTCATTACTGAACTCTCCACTTTGTTTCCAAGCAACTGAATTTCAACCCAAGTTGTGCTGCCTCGCAGAACATGGAGACTTGATGCGTCTTGACACATCCTTGAAGCATTACAATAAGAACTGAAGTCAAGGCACCTTTACAAATTAATGAAAAAGTATATTGTAACAATTTCAAAGTTATATCAGCCTTGATACTAATCACTGTAATAAGCCTATAAATCAAGATGAAATATTAGGATGTTAGTTCATATCATATCAATTCTTCAACAATCCAAACAGTATGCTTTTATAACAATCTTTTCATAATACTACCCTATTTTCCAATCAGTTAAAACACTAAATATTTCCACCATTGCAGAGTAATTAGCAACTGTTTGTCACAGATCAAACTCCAGTGTTGTCAGCTAAACAAAGGCAAAACCAAACAAAGAAATCAAATAACTTAAATTATATTAGCAAACAAAATAGTTTCTCTCTGTAGGTGTTCTGGTCTGAAACCTGATATAAAATTTAAAGACAAATGTAAAAACTCAGAAAGATTGCTGATAGGGGTCTGAGGCTCACAATTCTTATTAAATCTAAAAAAAGGGACTGCTCGGTTCTTCTCTATTCAACTACTGGGACAAGGCAGTAGTTTTTATGGACCAACTTCTTTTGGTGAGAGAGAGACGAGCTTTTGAGCTTAGATAGAGCTCTTCTTCAGGCCTGAGTCAGATCTGAAGAATAGTTCTGTGTAAACTCAAAAGCTTGTCTCTCTCACCAACAAAATTGGTCCAATACAAGATATTACCTCACCCACTTTGGCTTTCTAGTACCCTGGATCAACACAGCTAGAACACTTCATACAACTATTCAATTACTGATATTTTATTAGTTGCAAGTATATGAAACAACAATAGAGGGCAGCACAACATTACTTAATTCTTTTTAAGTTATATTCTTTGATTTTTACCACCATAATTATACAGAAAAATTGTTAAAAAACACTGCCCATTTATCTACCTCATCAATTAATGGTTCTCAAAAACTACGGGAATATACACAGCAGATTCAAAAGGGAAGAAAGGTTTTACTTCTGAACTGCATATATTTGGAATGCTGCTGAACTGTTAAGTAGTCATTAAAAAGAGAACACATTCAAACAAACATGTTATTTTTTGAAACAATTAGCCAAGTAACTAATCAAACTATATATTCTGGTGACACATTTATGGCAAAATAAAGAATCTTTAAATGTACTCAGTTTTACAGACTCACTCCCTGCCCTGGAGTTTGTGTTCCATATCATCTCAGGATCATAATCATTCAGAAAAATGATGCTGTAAGGGATTACTGCTGAGTTGGTAAAAGGATTCTGGAAAGAAATGGGTTTTGGAGTGGAGTGTGCTTGGGTGCAAGGAGAGAGTGTTCCATCTGTAGAAGGCAACAGGATAGGCATGAAAATAAGAGTGCAAGAAAGATGAATGGGGCAGTAACATAAAAACTAGGAACAGTGCAGAAGGAAATGAAAGCACAGGTGTAGGAACACAGCCATTAATAGACAATGGAAATTTTAAAGTAACGACATTGTTAGTTATGTACATCTGATTTGGTAGTTTTAATGGGCCATAATAAAAGCTAGCCTTACCAAGGTCTTTTCATTTAAATGTCAGAGTATGGTAACTCCTCATTTAAAGTCATCCCGGTTAACATTGTTTCGTTGTTAAGTTGCTGATCCATTAGGGAACATGCTCGTTTAAAGTTGTGCAATGTTCCCTTATAACGTTGTTTGGCAGCCGCCTGCTTTGTCCATTGCTTGCAGGAAGAGCAACCCGTTGGAGTTAGCTAGTGGGCGCTTGGAACCAGGGTGGACTAGCAGCCCCGCCTAAGTTCCCTGTGTGGCAGCTGCCCAGCAGGCTATCAATTGCCGGCAGTTCAGCTGTCCCGCCCCCCACTGCCACGTGCAGCTCCTGCCCTCTGCCTTGGAACTGCTCCCGGGAGCCTCCTACTTGCTGTGCAAGGGAAGGAGAGAGGGGGGCTAATGTCAGGGTGTCCATCCGTCCCCCTGCTCCTGCATCCAACTTACCCCATCTCCATGGAGGGAGGGGAGGGACACGACAGGGCTCAGGACAGAGGGAGCTTCCTGGTAGCAGCAGCTGCTGTCTCAACTTGCTGATCTACTTAACAAGGCAGTGTACTTAGAGTGGGATCAGCCTACCTAAAGGGCCAATGTGCATCTCTCTCTCTGGGCTGGTCCACACTAACCCCCCAGTTCGAACTAAGATACGCAACTTCAGCTATGTGAATAACGTAGCTGAAGTCGAAGTATCTTAGTTCGAAACACAAGGTACTTACCGCGGCTCCACATGTGGCAGGCAGGCTCCCCCGTCGACTGCACGTACTCCTCTCGCGGAGCAGGAGTACCGGCATCAACGGCGAGCACTTCCGGGATCAATTTATCGTGTCTAGACAAGACGCGATAAATCGATCCCAGAAGATCGATTGCTTGCCACCGAACCAGCGGGTAAGTATAGACGTACCCTCTGTCTCTGCCATTCTGTCTCCCCTCCCTCCATTCATGCTGCCCTGTAGAGTGTGAGGCTACATTAACAACAATGGGTTAACCCTTGAAGGGTCTGCCAAAAGCTAGTTCATCATTTAGCAGTAAGGCATTCCCTGGAAAATATCCGACCCTCTTTCACCCTCTGACTTTACCACCTCAACCAAGCTTCACAATCATCATCGCTGTGAACAGTATTAAATTGTTTGTTTAAAACTTTGTGTGTGTGTGTGTGTGTGTTTGTGTGTAGTCTTGGCTGGCGAAAAAAATTTCCCTGGAACTTAACCCCCCATTTACATTCATTCTTATGGGGAAATTGGATTCGCTTAACATCGTTTCGCTTAAAGTTACATTTTTCAGGAATAACTACAACATTAAGCGAGGAGTTACTGTATATCCAAATTAATCCACTTTCAGTCCCTACGGAAATCCTGTATTTTCTCCATGGCTCCTCTAACATCTAAATAACGCTACTGTAGATATTGGAGGATGACGAATAAGTAAATTACTATGAGAATTCAGTTCTCCATAGACCTTTATGGTTGGGGGGTGTAGGGGAGTGGGGAGAGAGAATGGGCTATCATACGCACCCAGCAGATGAGATTGAGACATAGCATTCAGCCAAACAGCCATATTTTGTATATTCCTGTATTAAACCAACTTCATGTGACTTTGGTTATAAGTTATTTTTCTCTAGTTAGTATCTGCCTAAAATTTCTCTTCTATAACTGAAACTTTACATTCCTTGGCCTCAACCCAACAGTGAATTCTATTTTTGAGAAGATTCATTATAGTTTTATACACACGTGAATTATACACACAAATTTAACCATCACCTATTGCACATATTAATCTTGTAATTTTACTATTGCAATATAATACTAAAGTATGCATATACTCATTTTGAATCAGCTATATTCGAGTCCTTCAATGATTAGGCTTTTCAGGATTTGGAAGTGTCTGTGGTAGGCATCTATCAGAAACCAAAGCTTTGTTCCACGTCAATACATTAAAATTTGCATTAGGCCATTCTACATCTGTGGCATCCTGTTACTCCTTGACCTTTCAATCTCCACTTTTAGACAAGTGGTATTGTTTTTTAAATTTAAAATAGTTTAGGTAGACGTTGTGTCACGAAATCATTGTGGAGGTCTAAATTCCATGTCAGGCACAAACAATACAAACTGACATACAGAAAACCAACATCCATATTATTAACATGTTTAGGACATTTAATACTTCGAAACTTCATAGTGACAGTACCAAACTATTTATTAAAATAATGTATTTTTTTTAAAGAATAAAATCTATTCTATCACAACTGAAATGTTGACTTGAGTTTACTCAAAGTTCATGTTCGCCTGGCCAGGCATACAGCATAAACTGCTAAGGATTTCAGAAACACAGCTGTTTGCTCCCCTCTCTAACATGTTATTTTTTTGGCAGTCCATGTAAAAATATGAGTACGAGTGTAATTCTTAGTTCTTGTCTATGCTAGCAATTTTTTCAGTGAGCTGTTGAAAAATTACAGGTAGCTTTGTTTTACAGTATATTCACATCTCCCATATTCTGAGGTGCTGAGCAGCGCCTGCATCAATTGCAACGGGAAAGAGGATATTCAGCACCTGACAGGATTGGGAATCAAGTCCTCTTAATTTATATAGTGTGCACAATTTAGCTATTCATATAGTGCCAGATTCTGCAAGGTACAGAGGGTCCTCAACTCCTGTTAATGTAAATGAAAGTTGAAGACTATTCAATACATCTCAAGAAAATGCTTAGTACCTTTCAGAGTTGGGCTCACAGAAGTCAAAAGAAAGTTGCCAACAACTGATGAAGTGCCTCCTCCTGAACAATCGAATATCATTAAATGTGAATTTAAGATGCACCTCTCTCTCTCTCCCTCCAACCGCAGCTCCCCCACTCCAGGAAGAGCATTGTCATGGCATCCTCAACCAGGGTTACAACTCAAGGGAATTACATAAATTTGTTGCTCTCAAAATAACGGTTCTCTGCCTGTGCTCTGTATCCCTTTCACACCTCAACACAAACAAGTGTGCTGTTGTTTACTTTTATCTACACACACTTAAGACTGCACAATTTTTTTTTGCTACTTTTAAAATATTTTTATTACTGTCCTCATCAGGAGGCACACCTCTACAAATTGATAAATATTCCAAAATTCCAGTTCTAAATAATTTTATTTTAGTTAACAGTTCAACAATTCAACAGAAATGTTTACATTTTTTAGTTAAGACAACTATAAATTCCTGCTATGAGATCTTTTACTGTAAATATTTTCACTGAAACCATTAAGGTATTTCATTTTAAGTCCACAGTGGTCTTCAAGATGGCCAGTATACTTAGTCCCACTGATTACTGAAAACCTGTCAGCTGGAACACTTTCCACACTGGAAGACATGCCAGAGAAACTTGCTCTTCCACAGCACCCCAGTATGTCTGATGTGTCATATTATAATATGGAATACTCATAGAAACACACACATTTTCTGGCATCAGCAAGATAATTAATGTGCAAGACAACCCATGTGCTGCATGGATCTACGTCCATCCTTCATTAGCTCAGTTTTTAAGTTAATTATCTAAATAAATTGTACCAACTATCAGGTTTTCTTCCTGAAAACACCATCCTGGCCACCATGGATGTAGAAGCTCTTTACACCAATATTCCACATTAAGATGAACTACAAGCTGTCAGGAACAGTATCCCTGATGAGGCCACGGCACACCTGGTGGCTGAGATTTATGACTTTGTCCTCACCCCGAGCCATTTCAGATTTGGGGACACTTTATACCTTCAAGTCAGCAGCACGCTATGGGTACCCGCATGGCCCCACAGTATGCCAACATTTTTATGGCTGACTTAGAACAACGCTTCCTCAGCTCTCGTCCCCTAGAGCTCCTCCTCTACTTACACTACATTGATGACATCTTCATCATATGGACTCACGGGAAGGAGGCCCTTGAAGAATTCCACCTGGATTTCAAAAATTTCCACCCCACCATCAACCTCAGCCTGGACCAGTCCACACAAGAGATCCACTTCCTGGACACTACAGTGCAAATAAATGATGGTCAGATAACCACCACCCTATACCGGAAACCTACTGACCACTATACTTACCTATATGCCTCCAACTTCCATGCAGGACATATCACACGATCCACTGTCTACACCCACGCTCTAAGGTACAACCGCATTTGCTCTAATCCCTCAGACAGAGACAAACACCTACAAGATCTCTATCAAGCATTCTTAAAACTACAATGCCCACCTGGGAAAGTGAGGAAACAGAGTGACAGAGCGAGACCGGTACCCAATAGTCACCTACTACAGGACAGGACCAACAAGGAAAATAACAGAACACCACTGGCCATCACATAGAGCCCCCAGCTAAAACCTCTCCAGCACATCACCAATGATCTAAAACCGATCTTGGAAAATGATCCCCCACTCTCACAGGCCTTGAGAGGTAAGCCAGTCCTTGCTTACAGACAGCCCCCGAATCTGAAGCAAATACTCACCAGCAACTATACACCACACCACAGAAACACTAACCCAGGAACCAATCCCTGTAACAAAACCTATTGCCTTCTCTGTCCCCATATCTACTCTAGCGACACCATCGTCGGACCCAACCACACGAGCCACACCATCAGGGGCTCATTCACCTGCACATCTACAAATGTGATATATGCCATAATGTGCCAGCAATGTTTCTCTGCCATGTACATTGGCCAAACCAGACAGTCTCTATGTAAAAGAATAAATGGACACAAATCAGACATCAGGAATGGTAACATACAAAAGCCAGTAGGAGAATACTTCAATCTCCCTGGACACTCAATAACACATTTAAAAGTAGCCATTTTTCAATCCAAAAAAACTTCAAAAACAGACTTCAAAGAGAAATTGCAGACCTACAATTCATTTGCAAACTTAACACCATCAATTTGGGCTTAAATAGGGACTGGGAGTGGCTGGCTCACTACAAAAGCAATTTTCCCTCTCTTGGTATTGACACCTCCTCATCAATTATTCGGAGAGGACCACAACCACTGAATTTGCCTTCAAAATTGGTTCTCCACTTGTAAGGTAACTCCACTCTCTTCATGTGCTAATATATATTTATGCCTCTGTCTGTAATTTTCACTCCATGCATCTGAAGAAGTGGGTTTTTTACCCACGAAAGCTTATGCCCAAATAAATCTGTTAGTCTTTAAGGTGCCACCGGACTCCTCATAGTTTAAATAAATTGTGTAATGCACAAAGTTAGTATTCAGAGGATATGAATAGAACATTCATCGAGTCAGAATGCATGCTGAAAATGTGGTGGAGAATAAAAAGGGAATTGACTTCTTGAAGTTTACACAATATATGCCAAAACATATGCAATTATATTTTATAGCTAAAAGGGCATTTTTTTTCCATTTACTTAAAATCCAAATTCTAGTATATGGCTGGCTAAAGCCCATTTGAGAGATTCAGGAGTTCATATAAATAATACATGGCTACTGTATTACAATCACTAATAAAGAGAAGCATGTGGAATTGATAGCATGTCAAATCAAATACATACAGGTAGAATATGAACTTATATGTTTATCAAGAATGATAGCACTGAAGTTGTATAAAAATTATGGTATACCAGAACATGGTTTGAACACAGTAGAGAACTAGAGCAGTTTATTGAAATTAGATAATAGTAAATACCTACCAATCTGGGAGTAAGAACCAACAGCACTGACAGGAAACAGAATATCTGAATTATCATTCAGGATATGCAGGGGAGTCCAAGTGCATATCTGTGAATTGCATGTGCCCCCATCATATGGCCTAAATAAAAACATATGATGGGCAGTGATCAGTGTTTTATTAATTTCTTTGAAATATAATATATAATTATTCATTTTGTACAGCATTTTCAGGATAGAAGTTGCTATGAGTTATGCTAGGAAAGAATTGTATCTCAGTTCCCACTCCCCGACCCCAATCCTTATGATTAGATGTATGAAGAAATGTTTCAAACATAACACAAATTCACAGCAGAGTTGGCTGGTCCAAAGTAGGCAGGCTGGCTGGACAGTGCCCTGTTCTCCACTTTCAGTGCCCAGTGATCTGCCAAACATGATCAGGAAAAGGATGGGGGATGCAATTTCAAAAAACAAAATATTAAAACTGTGTCATTTAACTATGTATTTTGTTTCCCCCAACCTCCCATTTAAAAAATAAAACATTTGACTTTACAACCAAAATCCAAGTGATCACATACAAAGGATGGGAAAATCTCCAGTGGGTAAGGGTTGGTTTGAATTTATCATCCAAAAGTTTGCATGACTATTTGAAACTTGAGTCTGAAAACTCAGCTGGAAATCTTATAAGGAAACTCCTGGAAATATCACAAGTTTTTCTTCTGGTCCTTGCCAGAAATAAGTGAAGAATACCAGATTTTACATTTTTACCATGTGAATTATTTGGGTAAGTTATAGTTTGATTCTAAAAATAGGTAAAAGTTTAGGGATCTTATAGGTTAGGCAAATTAATTTTTCTGTTCCTATGAAGCACTTGAAGCAAAGTAGAACTGCACAGACAGTTTAGTTTTGGCTCTATGTACTTACTTTTCTGAAACTTTTGTTTCATCTTCCACACCTTTGTTTCCCAGTATCTTTCCATATATCTCTTCCTCATTTTCATCCACATCTTCATCATCAATACTCTTCACATCAAGCTTCTGGTAACTACACTCTCCATTCAAAAACATGGAATCGCTTTTCCACAAATGGGTATTCTGATTTCCATTTAAATTTTGTACAAGAGATCCTTCAGAGGAAGGTAACACAAAAGCTGAAGACTTGTCTGAGTTCTCTTCTGAGCTTTCTCCTGCAACTGCTGTCTTTAAAGTATCTCCTAAATTTTGTTCATCTTCCTCCTCATCAAATGAGATGATGTGTGTCACCCTTTTCTTCTTCTTTCGATCTTTTCTACATTTTAAATCTGGTGACAACAAAAGATTGATTTACATATTTTAGAGAAAAGCAGCTAACAAATGGAGATACCTAATTCATTTAGGACTTTGTTGCTCTTTAAGGAAAGGCAGTAAAGAGTCCTGTGGCACCTTATAGACTAACAGATGATTGGAGCATAAGCTTTCGTGGGTGAATACCCACTTCATCAGACGCATGTAATGGAAATTTCCAGAGGCAGGGGTATATATATGGGCGAAAGTACCAACTGGAGGAAACGAGA